CACGGAGGTGTTGATATGCCGTTAAACAAAGACGACAATCCTTTCATTTTGCTTAAACTCAACAAATGATTCTAAAAGCAGAAAATGTTTGTGAAAAAAAAATAGAACTTGCGTTTTCATTATTTTTTTACGAGTCCTTTTTAAATAAGTTTTTTTTTTTTGTTTTAGTTATTTTATATTAAGTATCATTATATTTGGATTATATTACCAAAAAAATTCAGTTTTAATAGGCAAGCTTAAGTTCGGCTTTTTTTTTTCTTTAAAAAGGGCAAAAACATTTTAAAACGTAGATATGCATGAGTTACGATTTTAAATAAGGGCAATTCAATGCAATTTGATAGTAGTTACGTTTTGTTTTTTTTCATTTTTGAAAATTCAATTTTTATTGCCGTCTCAATACTTTATTATCGTACTTTTCTGAAACTTTATTTGAAGAATATTAGCTGATTTAAAGTATAATTGCAAGGATCAGAAAATAAAGTTTTTTTTTTTAAAGAAAATTTCTTTCCCATACCTAAATTTTTAAAGTATTTTTTAACGACAACATACGGCGTACTTTTCAAACACACTCCACACCACACACACATTTTGTATCTAGAATCCGATAATTTTATTTTGCTATTATAGAATTTTACATGGTATCTCCACTAATTTTCGATATCTTACTTATTATAAAATGAAGATTGTGTGTGCGCGCGTGTGTGTGTCTACGTTTATATATTGGATCGGATTTCCTACATTTTTCAACCGATTTCAACAAAACTTCACAGGACTGCGTAAAATTACCTTGTGGTGGTTCTGACAGTGCCAAAAATTGGAAAAACACAATTGTTTTTGCACAAAATCAATTTGAAAACACGATTCTGTCACCAGAATGAAAGGGGGACAACTCATATCGAGTTATACTTATAAAACCCAGGTTGTTTGTGTGTTCGTTTATATATGGGATTGGATTTCCTACCTTTTTCAACCGATTTCAACAAAACTTCACTTTTTGTTTGGCAGGTAGTGTTTCTTATTGTCTTGCACAGTTTTTTTCTTTATTTTTACATTCAGAATGCTTTAAAAATTCCATTTACAAGATAATTGTTTATAATAAAATTCTATTCAATCGGTACACTCATAACGATTGAAAACAATGTTTTTGTTTGAGTTTCGGTTTGACCAATTCGGAAAAAAAAAAAAAAAACTAATTAAGATATCCATGTCCGTCAACCTTAAACAATAATCTTTGTCAATTTTATTTTTCAGTCTTTATGATGGTCAATACTTGATCTATCTCTTACTGTTACATCCCCGGGCGACCCCGGGCTCTACTACTAGTCATTTATAAATGAAAAAGCTTTCTTGGGTCTTTTATTTTAGCTATAATTGAAAGCTAAAGGATTAAATTTATTTCCAATAAACAAAATACCCTAGTGCATTTCAAACAGAAATTATATTGATTGAAATCGATTTTTAAAAAATTTTCTAAAAAATTTTCTTTTTTAGTTGTCTTTCTTTGGAATGCACTTCTCTGTATTAAAAAATCTTCCAAAAATAAAATATACTTTTCTGAAACTTTGAGGAATATTAGCTGATTTAAAGTATAATTAATCTGATTTGAAAAAAAAATATTTACTTTAAGTTTAAAATAACACAGAAATGTATTTTTAAAACAAAACAGTTACTGTTTTTTGAACCGACATCGCCATGTTTTAAGTAACTGATGAGGCGTCGACAAGTTGACATAATCATTGTTTATAATTTATCTGTTAAAACATAATTTAAGAAAATGACGTGAGCGCTTTTTGTTTTATATAATTTTTAAGTACTCAGTAATCGTAAATATAATGGAAAATATTCTCTGTAATCTAATTTTAGGAATGCTAACTTTAAATTTACTATAGTCATCGTTATTACTATAGTCATCTTATGGTCACGTTACGTAATAGTTTATATACATAAATTGTTTCTATTAAGCTTTTCAATTTTTGATTAGTAAATATAGGTTTCACTTAATAACAATATCACCTAACTAGATAGAAGTAATGCAAAATTTTAGAAGACTTATATATTATAAATTATCATAATTAAAATTTAAAAAAATGAAAACATTTCTTGGAAGAATTCATTATTCATCGATTTTTTTTTAAAGAAAATAGTGTGCTTAATAAATCTTATTTATAAAAACAATTAAAAACTTTTTTTTAATTAAATAATGCCATAGTTTTATTGCATTTTTTATTTTACGATTCGGAGCAGATTTTCGGCAAATAAGTCATAGTTCGAAAAAAAAATATGATGATTTACAGTGCTGTTCGATAAAAGTAACTCACCTGATTTTTTTTTACTAAAAATATTTTTTGTCTCTTGTTTTCGGGGTTAAAATAATTTTAAATCTTACTAATATAAAGACCCCTTCACGACCACCTAGGAAAAAAGTTTATTCACCCTAAGGTATTCTATTGATAATTATAAATTTAGATATAAATGAGATTCAGGAAAAAAAACTCTGTGCAAAAAAAGTGACTCAAATATCGCATTCTAATGATTAAACTGGTAAATTTAAAGAGCTTTTGACAAAATATTGAAAACTATTTTACAATACACTCAGAACAATATTCTAGAGAATTCTTGAACAGCTTAAATTAAATCTAGAGTATTCTAGAATATTCCAGAAAGCCTCATACAGTATAAAAACAGCTTGAAATAGCCACTCAAGTCACTAACCAGATGAAAGGGTACAAACACTCATCAGAACCACTTAAGACATCTATTATTGCCCTCTCAAAAGCATGCAAGTCTACGAGAGAAATTGCAGAAATTGCTATAACCTCGCAATCAACTGTCTCCCGAGTGCTTAGGGCACATAATGATGCCACTCCTGCTCCAAGGAAGGAAACAAGGGACGAAAGAAAAAGATTGATGATAGAACTGACAGGGTAATCAAAAGAGAAGTTGTGAAGAATAGGACTATAACTAGCCAAGAAATTGCAGCCAGTCTAAGCGAAGAGCAAGGTGTTAGTATTGCCTCTTCAACAGTCCGTCAGAACAAGGTTACAAATCTTGTTAGAACAAGGCTAAAAATCTTGTACACGAAGGTTTAAGCCGCTAATAAGCAAAGTCAACAAAGTCATGAGATTTGAATGGGCTCACTATTACAAAAATTTCACCGAATATTCTCTTCTCCGATGAAACGAAAGTTGAGCTAAATTCAAAGAATAAGGTGGGTTACTTTTATCAAACAGGACTGTACATTCTCGAATGAGTCCTGCTTTTAACTAACAAATAATTTTCAGATGGCAATTTAATTCTTCAAAATTTCGTGATATTAAGTAATTGAGGTAACATATGCAAATATATATATATATATATATATATATATATATATATATATATATATATATATATATATATTTTCTACTAAGATTTTCTAAAAATAATTTAATTCATTTATGGATAAGTCCTGAAAGTTTAATTAAAATCCGGTTTTTATTTTTTCATCATGCCATGCGTTTTTTTAGTGAAAATGTGGAGCTACCTAATTTAATACATACATATATATATATATATATATGTGTGTGTGTGTGTGTGTGTGTGTGTGTGTGTGTATTTAGTGCATTGAGGCAGTAGATCATTATCCAAACATATATTATTAAATACAGTGTAACCCGGATATAAGAGACCCGGATATAAGAGACCCGGATATAAGAGAAACCCGGATATAAGAGAGATTTTCTCTGGTCCCAAATTAGAGCCTGTGTTAATGCATATAAAATAGACCAAACCCGGATATAAGAGAAACCCGGATATAAGAGACTTCTCCGGTCCCGACAACTCTCTTATATCCGGGTTACACTGTATAACAGACAATGAATATCTATAATGTCTGATCACGAGCCATTCTAATGTTCGAATGTTTGCTTTAATTTCATGTGAGCCAAAAGCTTAGGACCAACTTAATAAAAAAAATTGCCAAATATTGGACAATTTTTGTCTTTATTTTCACCCGAAATTTAAGCAAATATTCGAACATTAGAACGACTCATGATCAAACATAATAGACATTCATTGTCTGTTATATTTAATAATATATATTTGAATATACGTATATATGTGAGTGAAGAAAAATATATACGGAAAAAACAAAACAAAAATCCTTATATACGATTATGCTGTTTTAATGTTAATATGTCAACGTCGGACGTTTCGGTCTAATAAACCATCTTCAGGACATTTTCATAAATATAACATTATCAATACAACATGACAAAGACGATGTACCTTAGAACAAGACTTATCCAAACAAATAACTGAAAGTTTTATAAGATCAGCGCTCCGTTTAAAACATGGTCACGTTGTCGTCACGTGGGCGACGCTGTGAAAACGTATTCCTACAATTTTGAGTATTTTGAATGAAAAATGAAAAGAATTCTATTTTGAACTAAAATTTATATGTACGCTTGTCGAGCATTAATCTCGCTAGAAAAGGGGAAATATTAAAGAAGCCAGGTCTAGTATTCACCGTGCGTGAGATAGATATTATGCCGGCTTCATAAATCCGCCTAATATTTTTATTATGAATATATTTTAAAATCTTCCAAGAATCAAAATCGAAATTATGATCTGCTTTAGTTGTGTGTAAAACTAAAGCATTGTTTAAATTTCCGAGGCGAATTTCTCGTTTATGTTCTTTCAAATGTTGGACAATTTTTGTCTTTATTTTCACCCGAAATTTGAGCAAACATTCGAATATTAGAACGATAAGATTTTACGGACCTACATGTTTCTGTCGGATCTATATCCATATATTTGATTACATATGTGAGTGTGTGTGTGTGCTTATGCATAATACACTCTGCTTAATAAATAAAAATGGGGCGTCTACTTCAAATACGAAGTGTCCAATATAATAACGTTTGAAGTAATATCGGTATATATGAAACATAAAGTTTGTGTTCACATTCTTCCATTCGGATTGTGTCCTTCGGCAAACGTTTTGCAACCCAGTTCTAGTCTCACCTCTCTGTTCTCAAAGGGTGGCTATATCCGTTTGATCGCTGTGGGCGGCAAAAAAGAAAAGAAAAAAAAGAAAAAAGAAAGAAAAAAGAAAGAAAAGAAAAGAAAAGAACGAGAGAGAAAAAGAGAGAAGAAAAGCAACGCAAAGAAAATAAAAGAAGAATGAACGTTGAAAATAAATCCTTTTAAACACGTCCAGAGCAAATATATTAAGAAATGGACAAAAGTCCGACAATTTATTTATTAAAGAAATGTTTAACGTTCCAAGATTTAAGCAAATGCTGTTTATAATAAACAGTATTAAATAACATTTACCGGCCTGAATGTTCGAGAAATTTTCGTAGAAAATATTCGTTCTTTGACAGGATTCGAACCTGCATCCTATACGGAACCAATGTGACGTGCCTTACCAACAAAAGGCGTTCACAAGGTCGAATTTACTTATAAACTTCAATCTTCCATGAACGTACATTCATAATATCAAATAAACAAATATATATATTAAGAAATGGACAAAGTCCGACAATTTATTTATTAAAGACATTTTTATGTTTAACGTTCTTTTTTTTATAGATACATGTATTTAAGTAAATGCTCTGTTTATAATAAACAGTATTAAATAACATTTACCGGCCTGAATGTTCGAGAAATTTTCATAGAAAATATTCGTCCTTTGACAGGATTCGAACCTGCATCCTATACGGAATATATATATACACTCGATGTAACAGCAAAATTGTCCGAATCGTGTAAAACCAAAATTGTCCTTTTGTTAGATTAAGCTTTAAACCGTTGTATCTTAGAAATGATTAAAGATATCTTACTGGCATTCTCCGAGTTAACACTATTGAACTCTACTTTGAGTAATAAAAATGTATAATTGCTCTCAAAGATTAACAGAAGAACATTGATGAAATCGATCATAAACGAAAATGCCATGTTCATCATTAATGAATCATAGCTAAGGGTCGGAAATTGACGAAGGATTGAAATAAAGTATATATATATATATATATATATATTCCAGAATCATTTTCCAACTTATTCAATATGATCTTCGCCCTCTCTAACTTTCTAAATTTATGTCCTGGAGTAACAAGTTGCCTTACACGTTTCATTTTCACGGTTTTTCTGACTGCCATAGCTGAAACTCCCCTCGCACGTGCCAAATGTCTTATAGATTGAGTTGGATCTTTTCTAATTGATATCTTTAGCTCTGTTGAAATGAAATGAAATTTTTCTGTTGTGAACGACTGATCAAGTTTTACTTTCTACCTTTCCCTCTTTTTCTAAACTTATTTACCGTTTTCTTGTTGGTTCTTGAATGGACTTTGAAGTTGTAATCCAGGGTGTGAATGTTGGTACCATTACTGAAGGCCTGAATGATATTTTCCTCTCAGCATTGCTCATTTGGAAAGACAATAGGACTGACACAAAACGATTTTAAACTGCTCTTTTAAAAGCTGAATAACTCAAAGGATTTATCAGTGATCCTTACGACAAATGGTGTAAAAGATAGCTAAACATTTTATCTGGAGGGGTGGAAGAAAACTCGACGAGTTTAATGATTTTATAGATATTAAATATTTTGTCGGATGGACAATTATCCTGTTACATCCGATATATTTTAACGCAATGGTATGTCTTCAACTACACACACACAAACAAATATATATATATATATATATATATATATATATATATATATATATATCAGCCAATCACGTTACCTTATCTTTCGATATTTTCTGGCCTATATCGCCTGAGGATACCGAAAGTTTCAAACCAAGGTAGCGTCACTGGGTGATCAGCTTATTTTTTTTTAAATTTAAAAGCTCTGCATGTTAAATTTTTATTTTTCATCTTTGTTCCTTGAGCCCAGTTTAATGCTGTTCTGTTTCCGGGTCTAATTCAACTCAATAACTTTATATATATATATATATATATATATATATATATATATATATATATATATATATAGTTTATGCAAAACTAGGTAATCCGTATGGGTAGACCCAAAGAGGATGATATCCGGAGAGCTCAATATAAATTCAGAGCAAATATGTTTGAATAAAAAACAGACCACTTTAAGGTTCCATGTAATAAATTATTTCACCACAGCCCTTTTAAAGGGCTCTGGATCATCAGACTTTACTTCCAATGGTTGAAATGAAAAATGAAAAGAAATTTACACATTTTTGACGGGCCGTATTAAACATATGTAAATTAACGAAGTGAGGAAGTGAGGGGGGAGAGAAGACATGAGTGAGTTAGATGTACCATTTCAATTCTTTATCTCTAACCCCACTTAGTGTGGGCCAGACATCGCTTAACTTAACATCTGTTATCTTTAGATATGGATGGGTAAGGGGTGAAGAAGAAAACCGACATTTTATGAAGAAGATAAAATAAAATAATCCTGATCATGAGAGAAGGTTTCACTCAATTTCTTGGACGCTGTTATTTCGCATTACTTTAAAGGGTATATTTGGGGGTTAAAGTTTGATATAAATCTAAATGTCTACAAAATCTACGAAGAATTTAATTTGATGTTTGTTGAGTTTTGGGTAATTATATATATATATATATAGTAATTCATCGAGTCTAGGAGAAACCTCAACAGAAAGCACTGGACAGCCGTTTCGTCCTATATTTGGGACTCATCAGCAGTGTGCATCCACCGAGAATTGAAACCCGAACAGTTACGATACTAGCCAAAAGTCATACCAACGGAACTCGGTGACGCAAAGGTAACGAATTAGACCCGATATAGCGCTGCTCGATCACATATTCCATGGTGGAACTAATCCGAGTTTTCCTTACCCACGGGACTGCGCCCTCGAGAGCCACGACTACTATCCACAAGCCGCTCCATCCACACACACACACACACACACACATATATATATATATATATTGAACAATAAAAAAATATTAAAAAATTAAAATCTTCAGACACACTGGGTTGTAGATTAATATTCTTTCGTTTTTTATTATTATTTCATTTAGATTCCTCGACTAGTTTCAGCCCAAAAATGGCCATCATCGGGGGGTGGGGGGAGAAATATTTCTTCTTGCTGGTAGCAGTAAACTACAGAAATTAATCTTTTGCTGGAGTAAATGAACTTTTGTCTGTAGTTTTCATTTGTTTTTTTATTTTTTTATCTTTTTTAACGTGAATCTTTTAACATTCCTTGTGTTGGTCAAACAGTCTCTTTTAAGTTGTTATTTGAGATAAGAGCTGGATGGATCTATGCTTCTCTGAATTCCCGTGGTCATTTTGACAGTTTTATTGTCATAAATTCACTCAAGTAATGATTTTGTATTTATCAATCCGACAGATAATCACTTTAAACGTTATTTTTAGTGGATACTCATATTTGGGTGGACGCTTCCGTCTAACGCTCTGAATATTCGAGAAATCTCATTAAAGAAAAATATACGCTCTCTGATAGGATTCGAACTTGCGTCCTTCTGGGCAGAAGAGTACTGTTGATGGCTCCGATGTGCCTTAACTGGCATGCAGCATCCTTGTTGTTGAAGCAAAGTTTGAATAGTGGCTTCAAACAAAATCTTTTGGTTACGAAACTGAGCAAATGTGAAACTTTCGAAGAATTTGTCACGTGAAGGATTTTGCTTAAATGCACTGTTCAAACTTTGTATGACAGGCAGGGCTGCTTCGTTGCAGAATCGGTTAAGGCACATTGGTGCTAACGACGATTTCCCTTTACCCAGGTGGTGCTGGTGGTGGTAGCGGATGCAGGTTACGAGTATTTACTAAAATAACATTTAAAGTGGTAAAAAATATATATACAGTGCTGTTCGACAAAAAATGACTCACCTGATTTTTTTTTTTACTAAATGTTCTCTTCTCCGATGAAACGAAAGTTGAGCTAAATTCAAAGGATAAGCGATCTAAAATCCGAAGAAGAAGCTTTGAAAGCTCTTTGAATTTAGCAGTAAGTACTGTCAAGCATCCGTTCAATATAATGTTCTGGGGATGCTTTTCTTTTCATGGAACTGGTTTCTTAAAACTTATTGAAAAGACCCTCAGGAGCGAGCAGTACAAGAGAATTTTAGAGTCTTGTCTGCTCCCTTCTGCTGAAAGGGTGCAAATCGACCCCACCAACCTCATTTTTATGCAGGATAATGCTCCCGGTCACAAATCAAAATTGATGAACGAATACTTTGATGAGAGGCAGATGAGTGTTATGACATGGCCGCCCCAATCTCCTGACCTCAACCCCATAGAAAACTTATGAAGCATTATAAAGTACAGACTCTCGAGAAAGCAGTTGAGCAATAAAGAGGATTTGATTGTGAATTTCATACCCGAATGGAATTTAATGCTTGGAGATGATATTTGCCAGAACCTAATCAAGTCAATGCCAAAAACGGTTGAAAAGGTTATTCAAAATAAAGGAGGACCCATAGATTATTAAATATTTCGAACTATATTACCTATTATAAATAAATTATCCCTCTATTATTCTTTATTTAAAGCTGTTCGGTTATGTTTCTATTGCTTACTAGTTGCAGGAAATAAATAAGTCTTTCCCTAAATCTCATTTTTATCCCAAATTATAATTATCAATAGAATACCTTAGAGTGAGTAAACTTTTTTTACTAGGTGGTCAGGAAGGGGTCTTTATATTAGTAAGATTAAAAATTAGTTTGACCCCAAAAACAATAGGTGAAAAACTTTTTAATTAAAAAAAAAAACCAGGGGAGTCACTTTTATCGAACAGCACTGTATATGGCGTACCTTCATTTTTTCTCCTCCCATTGATCCTTGTACCAATTTTCTTCCATCCCTCTTCCTCTTTCTCTCCCGTCTAAGACCGGTGCAAAACTCTCGTACCCTAAAACATGCCAGCCCCACCCAATCTATAATACGGGACTCCTAAATTTATGATATGGGGCTCCCAGACTCTATGACATCTCTATTTTCATAAGGTAGTAAGTAATACAAATTTTATTGTAACCTAATTAAGTACATAATATGTGATTTGTCAGCCATTAAACAAAGAGGAAGTTTATGCTTAACATAAGGAAGAGGCAGGTGAAATTTCTGTGACACGTAATGAGAAAGGAAGGCCTGGAGAACCTGATACTCACGGGACGAATAGAGGGAAAGAGAGACAGGGGAAAGCAGTGCATGACATACGTGGCTGGCTTGGGTAGGTGGATGGTGGTGTCTGGTCTGGGGGAGTTGGCAGAAACACAAAACCTGTTGAGAGCCACAAGGGATAGGGGGAAGTGGAGGGCCATGATCGCCTACGTCCTGAAAAGACACGATACATAAAAAGAAAAAAATTATGTAGAGTAATGAATCATACACAATATAGGTGAACAATTCAACTCGAAAAATAGAAAATAAATACAATGTATCTAAATACAAATTAGAGACCTGTCATAATAGATCATTCCATCTTAAATAAATCAACAATGTTTTACAGCAATTTTTAACATTAACTTGAGATTTTTTCTGTTATAATGTTGAATAAATTGAAAACAAATTCACAGATTTAGACGAGGAAAAATACCCCAGATTTACGTCAAGTACCGGGCAATTTTTGAATCCTTTCTTAGTCAGTTGCGCTGAGTTGAATTTGTAACATATATAAATGTAGGTAGAAAAAAAAAATTTGCTATTAATCAGTTTTCTGTGTTAAAGGTGCCTCTGCATTCACCAGAACTCAGTACCAAAGAGCACCTTTGGGATGTGGTGGAAAGGGAGCCAACCAGTCTAAGGGAATTGTGGGAAGCCATAATAGCTGTATGGATATACATTTCAAAAAGATCCATCCAGAACATCGTTGAATCAATACCAAGAAGAAATGAAACGGTTCTAAATGAAAAAAGGAACATAATCAGCTACCCAGGGACAGGACAAAGGCCTTGTGCCCCACCTCAAATCTATGAGACGGCCCCCCCCCATTCTTCTGCATTACTATTTTCATAATGTAGTATATAATAAAACAGAAACTTTATTGTAACTCAATTATGTACAATAATGGATCATATGCAATGTAGGTGAACAATTCAACTAGAAAAATAGAAAATAAATACAATGTATCTAAATACAAATTAGAGACATGTCATAATAGATCATTCCATCTTAAATAAATCAACAATGTTTTGCGGCAATGTTATGGAGTAGTTTCACAGTGGAGGCTTGTATATGTACTAAGTCGGTCCTAAAATAGGTTCGACGTACAAAACGTTAGGAACTTGATATAATAGGTAATGACGCAGAGAAATCTAATTGTGATCGCTGATACTTTAGTATCCGACTAACGGTCGTCCGGCATCGACTGACTGAGCGACCCACTGGATATTCCGTCACCCCGCCACTGGGGCATCATGTGACACAAGGTCGGTTATTTATTGTGGGTTCTCCGAGCCCTTGGGCTCGGCCCAAAAATAGGCCCATTGAGCCCGTATAAACGGGCTCAGGGCCGGTTTACCTCACCGAACGAGACTCCGCCCCTCGGAGTAGCCTCGTTCGGGTTCCTCCTCGCCCGAAGGCAGAGAGTTCAACCGATCTGTCGTTCAAGACTTGAGCGAATGACTTGTTACTACTCCTACTTATTATAGGTGGGAGAGTGTTTAGAATAGGTGTGTTCCACTATAGCAGGCAAATTTTAACATCAACTTGAGATTTTACTTGTTAAAAACTTGAATAATTTTAACACTTTCAACATTATGGATAAAAATAGCAAATTTTATATAGTGGTTTTTCGAGATTTAACATGACTAAAACAAATTCAAGGATTTGGGCCAAAAAGACCTGAAAATGATGTCAAAATCTACGAAAACTTTTTATCCTTTAATAGTCAGTTGGGCATAGTTTAATTTATAACGTTTGTAAATGTGTCCTATGATAAAAATGGCGGCATGGTGGAGTAATGGCTAGCGGTTCGGTTTGAGGAATTCTAGAGCCGTGTTCGAATACATTACATTCGCTAAGGTGGGAAAGGTATGAATCTTCTTCTCCTCAACGCCATGGGTAAATAGCAGGACAGACCGGGTTCTATAGCCTTGGATGGCAACTGGTCTACCACAGAAAGAAATGGCAATCTACTGCGGGAAAAAAATCTGCCTCGTCAGTCATGTATCGAAAGATACATGATCGCCTTACGTGTATCACGCATGGCACATAACGACTAGACCGGCCCTATAGCCTTGGATGGCAACTGGTCTACCACGGAAAGAAATGGCAACCTATGCGGAAAAAATCTGTTTTGTCAGTCATGTATCGAAAGATACATGATCGCCTTATCGTGTATCACGCATGGCACATAACTGACTAGACCGGGTTCTATAGCCTTGGATGGCAACTGGTCTACCACGGAAAGAAATGGCAACCTACTGCGGGAAAAAAATCTGCCTCGTCAGTCATGTATCGAAAGATACATGATCGCCTTAGCGTGTATCACGCATGGCACATAACTGACTGACTATTAAATGTAGATATAAAAAAGTAAATGTTGATAAGGTAGCGAGGGCCACAAAGCACTGCCCGGGGTAGTATGTACCGGCTCTGACTCTATATATCTGGGTTGAAAGACGGAGAGGTATTCATTTACAGGGATCCACGACTTAGGACAGAGTTTGGTGGGGGTTGTATCATTTGTCAGTTGGAACGCACCCGCGACTTTCCATGAATAAGCGCTTATGTCATTCACCACTGTTGAAGCAATAGTAAAGTAATAATCTAACTGTTGAAGCTTGGATAAGCATGGAATAATAATAATACAACACAAAATGTACGTAAACAAAATGTATTGAAACAAGGAAAAGGTACACAATATTTACAGTTAGTTTTGGTATATTCTTGGGAAGACTGTTCCTGCAGAATGGGTTGACTTAATCGCAGTCGGGCAGAGTCTCTAGATTGGATCTCTTCTTACTTCCTCCCCGTCTTCCGGTACCAACCCATATTTATATGGTCGGTCCTCCACTATGTAAATTAGGTGGATCGTACCACAACAATTTTTGAAGGAAAAATTACGATCAATACAGTTTTGAAGGAAAAATTATTACCAGAAATACATTTTTGAAGGAAAAATTACGAGCAATGCAGTTTTGTAGGAAAAATTATTACCAGCAATACATTTTTGTTGAAACTTGGATAAGCATGGAATAATAATAATACAACACAAAATGTACGTAAACAAAATGTATTGAAACAAGGAAAAGGTACACAATATTTACAGTTAGTTTTGGTATATTCTTGGGAAGACTGTTCCTGTAGAATGGGTTGACTTAATCGCAGTCGGGCAGAGTCTCTCGATTCGATCTCTTCTTACTTCTCCCCACGTCTTCCCGGTACCAACCCATATTTATATGGTCGGTACTCCACTATGTAAATTAGGTGGATCGTACCACAACACTAACACACGGCAACACATTTCGATGACATGTTAACAAATGTTTACAAATGTTAATAAGATAGCGGGGGTCACAAAGCTCCCATGTTACCTGGGGCCCAATTAAGAGTAAAAAATCAGAGTTGTCAAACTTGACTACTACTGTTTGTTTTGTTGAGGATTTTAGCCTGGGAGGGAGAGGTGTGACTGTGGATAACATAGATAGATAGATAGATAGATAGATAGATAGATAGATAGATATAACCAATCTCTATTTTGTGTACAGAGAGATTCGAGTAGAATATACTAGAAATATGAAGAAATTGACATAGATATAAAAAGAATGAAATAGATATGAACAGACTAATAGATAGATAGATAATGAACTGAGATAGATAGATAGATAGATAGATAGATAGATAGATAGATAGATAGATAGATAATGAACAGACTGAGATAGATAGATAGATAGATAGATAGATAGATAGATAGATAATGAATATACTGAGATAAATAGATAGATAGATAATGATTTGGTTTGGTTTGGTTTGTTTTACAGCATATCAACCTCAATGGGTTATTTAATGTCGACTTTTTTTCCTGGTAATATTTTGTTTTGTCAAAAATCTATTACTGGTAATATTTTTTTCCTCAAAAATGTATAGCTGGTAATATTATTTTAAAAAATGTATTCCAGGTAATTTTTTTTTTTTCAAAAACTTATTGCTGGTAATAGTTTTTTTCTTTCAAAAATTTATTTTTGGTAATAAATTTTTACAAAGTATTTCTGGTATTAAAACCTATTTTTACACTTTCATAATGCTTTTTACCTCAGTTTCGGGGTTAGCTATTTGCCCATAGCTGGGACCCTAACAGGTTCTACCACCCCGGGTAAGGATGAACTGGGGAACACCAACAATTAAGAGGAGGTTCCACGCCGCTTCTCAAAACTTCCTGATCAGACGCCTTGCTGTTGGGCGTAGTTTATCGTCTTACACTGGACGCGGATGTAGTTTATCGACATATCCAGGATGGGATAGATAATGGATATCCTGAGATAGATAGATAGATAGATAGATAGATAGATTGTCCATTATCTATCTATCTATCTATCTATCTATCTATCTATCTATCTATCTATCTATCTATCTATTCCTGTTCATTAAGATATGAACCGACTGAGATATCGATAGAAAGTAGAGGTGAAAGAACTGCCATAGATAAATGGATCGATAGCTACATATAAAGATAGATAGATTTCTCTTGTATTACTTATAACAAAAATTCTATACCCCTCCAATCATTTAACTATACAAAATATTATTTCGAGGATTTGTATACGCGATAAGTAAAAATTTGCCGCTACCTTATATGAACATTAGCCGTTGGTTGTGACATTAGAACGTCAGGTGGATATGTCGTCTTGTGTGTGTCCAGTATTATTCGCTGTAACACCAAGGAATAGAGAATAAATACCTAAAGGGACACGTATTTTCATTTTGGAATGAACGCTTAAAATTAAAAACATGAAAGGCTGTGCAAACGGATATTACAAAACAGCGCATGCGCACATGAACTTTATTGTGTTTTCCAGTCAACACAGCGGAATTCTACGAAAGAAGAACAAATCCAAAAAGCGAAACCCCACAAATGATGAGCTCACAAACAAGGCAAAAAACAGACAAACAAAAAGAGCAAAAATGGAGTCAAAAAATGTGAAATGTTTTAATGAAAAAAGAAGGTGCTGGAATGTCTGTTTCAACAAATGTTTTTCTGAACAAAATTCCTGGCAAATACCTACTTCTGAAAGCGGCAAATTTCTCACCAGATTTTGAAGAGAGCAAGGAGAGAAAGGGAGAATGTGGGTGTGTTTGTGTATGTGTGTGTATGTTTGTGTGTGTGTGTGTGTGAGAGAGAGAGAGAGAGAGAGAGAGAGAGAGAGAGAGAGATTAAAAAAATCTTATCTCCAGAATTGAGACCGAATATTATTTCACCTTTTTCTTTTTTTCTTTCGTTTATATCATTTTTCATTTTCTTTTTTCATTCTTCTTCTTTTCATTTTTTCTTCTTTCTTTCTTTCTTTTTCTTATCCAGAACTTGATATTTTCTTTAATTTTCTTTCTTTCTCCTCTCTTCGTTCTTTCTTTCTTATGCAGAAGTCTATAGTTTTCTTTATCATTTTTCTTTCTTTTCCTTTCTTTTACACTCTTTCTTTCTTTCTTTCTTTCTTTCTTTCTTTATTTATTTATTTATTTATTTATTTCTTATCCAGAACTTGATCTTTCTTTAACTTTCTTTCTTTTCCTTTCTTTTCCATTCTTTCTTTCTTTTTTTCTTTCTTTCTTTCTTTCTTTCTTTCTTTCTTTCTTTCTCATTCATCTTCCTTTCTTGTCTTTCATTTTTCGTTTCTTTTTATTTTATTTTTCTTCTTTCTTTAGTTTCATTTTTTCTTTTTCTTCTTCTTCTTTCTTTACGTTCTTTGTTTTTTTTAGTTTTTTTTACATTTTTTCTTTTTTCTTTTCTTTCTTTCAATTTTTTCTTTTTCTTTCTGTTTCTTTGTTTCCGATCATTGCTTTTCTTTTTCTCTTTTTCTTCCGTTCAGTTTTCTTTCTATATTTCGCTTTTCTTTCTTCCTTTCTCTTTCTTTGTTTTTCTATTTCTTTCTTATTCTTTCTTTCTTTATTTCTGTGTGTATTGTCTCATTTATTATTCCCACACCCCGGTTGTCTTTTTATTTTGATTCTTAAAATTCTGTATTGTTAAATCATTTATATATTATTCGGTACAAATCGTAGAAGAAAATTGTTCTATTCTTTAGTTTCCTTCCTTCTTTTTGTACTATTTTTATTTATCTAATCAGCTTTATTTTTAACAAAAAACGGTCTGTCAAAAGGACGGTTTTTGTCTTAACAACGCCTTTACCGTTTAGTTCCGCTTTTTTTGGCGGTTGGTGAGTGGTGGGTACGTTTATTAAACTGCTAAATTATTTTTGTAAATAAGCCACCTAATAAATATACAATTTTTAACATTTTTGTTTCCAAGAGAATATATATATATATATATATATATATATATATATATATTAACAATTGTCCTAATGAAATGTGCTCTTGAAAGGGCGCGTGTCCTCTCCAAATTGTACAATGAATGCCTCGTTACTTATTTCTTTACAACTTGTTTGACGTCATCCCCTGTAGTTCCTATTGTCAAGAACACTGGCGAACCATCGGGTCCTTCAAATTATCGCTCTATTACTCTTTTAATTCTTTTTGACAAAGTCCTAGAGGCTCTAATCAACGCCGAATTAGTTAAGCATATTATTAACACGACCCTCTTTCGGATCTAACATTTTCGCCCCAGCCCCTCAAACTCTGACGTCTTACTCTCTGGGTCGAGGTGTCTACTCGGCCCTAACCGAACTTAACGGAGTGGCCGTAAGTCCTCTGAGCATCCGTAGATTATTCGACCGGTCCACTGGTTTAATCCTGCTTCCTGCCCACGTTGTGTTCGGTTTGATCCAGAAAGCAGAAGTGATGTCCATCCATTCACGGTCGACTGAAGATGTAGACACAGCTGGAGCGTCTGCGCTAAGAAATTTAGAACGCAGCAAAAAAAAAAAAAATGAATATCTGCAGAAAGCCGGACAAACAACTATTCAATGATTGAATTGTTTATGTCTTTTATGTAGCAGAAAAGAAAAGCATAGAAAAGAAACGGGTTACAGAAAAGAAAAGTAATTGACGTAAAAACGCATACACTGGATTCTGGACAGAGAGAGAGTGTTTTATGATTTCAGAACGATATACGACTCTTACGATGGGGGAATAAGATTTCTGTATGCGGCTTAAAGTTTATAGTAGCGTTCCTCCTCAACAGTAACAGTAGTAGTATTATTTATGGTAGCAGAAGCAGCGGTGCTTATATCAACAGTACATCCAATCTCTGACGTCACTTTCTCTCCTTCTTGAGTCTCCAACTCGTCTCTCCACTGTCTCTAGTCCAAATCTTGCCTGGGCTAATTCTCTTCTGTCTCCCTCTTCCGTCTGCCTCTTTTTCAGCCTAACTACGCGTTTATATAGAAAAACCCGGCTAGTTATAACCGACCCTTGGCCCTACCAATTCGCACGCGATTATCACGGGTTTCTGGCTGTTTCAACAAAAATCATGTGAATTCTAAAGGTCCTTCTTGCTTACTCAGCTCTATTCCAAGTTTTAATCAATAAAAATTATTCGTCCATTTCTGTTGTCTGCTGATGACCCAGATTCAATGGGTACAACTTCTCGCCTAGATCAGGTTTCACCATCAGTAAACAAAAAAGCTCTGATCTAATTTCGCTGTTCAAATCCACTCCAATTTCACTAAAAAATATACGTGTGTGTGTGTGTGTGTGTGTGTGTGTGTGTGTTTTTAAGCGTTTCACCCCAAGCAAGTCGGGAAGCCACTAGGACGCAAGGAGTTACAGAAGATTTGGAGCAAGATCAGATAGGAGTGATAGAGGAAAGGATGAGGAGAAGGATAGTGGATAGATCAAGGCAACTGGAGATGTCGATTGACATTACATTTGAATAGCTGGAGATTATAGCTCTCAGGGAAACTGGAATAGGGAAGGGAGTTCCACAGGCAAGAGGTGCGAGACATGAAGCTATTGGAGTAGAAGAGACGGCTACATTTAGGAGTTTCGACAGTGAAGGTTTGAGAGCGGGATGCCAGCCTCGTAGGGCGCGTGAACTCATGAAGTCTGGGTGTTCCCAGACTCTCTCTGTCACACGGATAAACAACATGGCTTCCGTTTCTTCTGGTCTCGTTTCGATGTGTTATACATAGTTCCCAAGAAAATTAACTAAACAAAGACAATTCTTCTCATCAGAATCCTTCTTGCATATATATATAAATCTATCATTCCTCCGTGCACTGAATACTGCTACCATTGATCGTTTTTAAAGAAGGGTCTGCAATATAGTCAGCTCTGATCTGGCATATCGACTTTCGTCATTTTATCACCGACGTAAAGTGACTTTTCTCTGTTGTCTCCGCTGTATGAATTTAAGCGTGCTTCTAGTTTAGAATCTCGGTCTCACCGTGTTACTACAGAACAAGCTAAATGCAACCGCCAGTTCTATTCTACTAGTCCTTGCACTTCTCACCTGTGGAGCTCCCTTCCAATTTCTTGTTTACCTGAACACCTACAATCTTCTTAAATTAAAATACAACGTTAATCGCTATCATTCTTCTTAATTTCTTTTATTTTCATTTACCTTTCCATCACTACTCCTCAATAAAGTCTTCTCATTCGCTTTCACTCCCTGTACTCACCTGAGTCCTAGTGCCATTATTACCTTGCTTCAGGTGAAATGATTAAAAAAAACATTAATGCTCTCAATATATTTCCATGAAATTATATATTAAGAGCAAATGAAAGAAATGTCTGGAAAGTACATTTTTCCAAAATATATAATTACAAACACCCGCCATTATTTACTTATAAAAAAGTAATCATGTTACCTCAAGCAAGGCAATAAAGCCACTAAGATACAAGGGATTGTTGAGTGTGGAAGGATATGAAAAATTAAAACATTATTAAGTACCGAGAACAAGAAAAGAAAAGAAATCAAGAAGACAGTAGATACCGATTGACATCGCATTTAAAATTTTAATACAGAATGTATAAATTTATGAATAAAATATTTTTCATAGTTATTCCTTTATAATATAATAAATAATACATATTGCACATGCTTCATATATTGAGTTGGTTCATATATTTTTATAATTTCGCAGATATGAAATTATTGGCAAACATGGATAAACGGGACATGGACCCGCAGGGTCTATATGGACGCCAGTTGAGAACCTTTGATCTAGTGCCTCACTGATTCTCTGTATAACGAGCGTTAAGACATCAGCAATGGACATAAAAAGACGAAATCCATACTATTTGTCGCTCAGGAAAGTGTTCCTGATGAGGTGAATAACTATCTTGTTGGTTAACGACTCAAAACGTTTGCAGATGATGCTGAGGAGGCTGATGGGTCAATATTGCAACGTGAATGAGCAGTCATTCTTAAAAACGGGGCATATAGCTGATACCTTACA